GGAAAAATATATATATATATATATATAAACACGCGAGTACATATACAATTTTAAAAGTGGGTTAAAAGTCTAACTCAATACTATAAAATTAGCTTGAGAGGTAAGGATTATTCTTTACTTTTATATATTATTAATGTCTCGTCTCTAATTGATGTAGGACCTTCAAGATATCCCTTCATGCTAAGGATTAGACATCTTAAGCATGAAGTTTGTAAGATTAGGCCTTTACAAGTGGTCTAATAATAACCCGATAATGGGTGGATAAATATCAATCATACTCATTAGAATAAATTATGATAATATCTTAAAAAGAAGTGGATTAAAGTCTAATTCAATCCAATAAAATAGACTTGTAAGATGGAAATTGATCTTTACTTATATACACTTTTAAGGATTTATCTCTAGTCAATGTGAGATCTTCAATATATCCTCTTCACCTTCAAGTTCCAAGTTCGAAAGCTGACTCTAATACCATTTTAAAAAATAAGTTAAAAACCTAATTCAATTCTATAATATTAACTTATAAAATAAAAATTATTTTTTACTTGTATACAGAATTTGACGTGAAATCTCCGACATATTTAAAAAGCATGAAATTATTAACTTTTCGTTGGAGTGGTCTACTAACTGAGTGGCACTGAAATGTGTCCCACGAACATGGAATGTCCACCAATATCCCCTGTTGACTTGACCGTGGTCCATGTGGAGATAGACTTACCAAATTAAAACGCTTTTAATTTATTATTATTTGATGGATAATGGAATGTGAAACACTTCTAATTAATTATTATTAAAATAATGAAGGAGATTAATTTGAAACCTTATGAAATTATAGTGAAATGAATCTTATACTCTATTATGAAATAACTGATTTTAGAATATTGTATAAGGATTTAGGAAAAACATTCTTAAAATTTATATAACAAAAATCATGTGATTAAATTGTTTTTTTGTAGCACAATATATTTTTAATACTGTTTCTCTTAAAAATAAGAAAATAACAAAAAAAAATTATACTACCAATACAAAATGCCAATAAATAACAAAGAAAAGGACCTAGAGTTGAAAAAAAAAAATTAATAAATACGTAATATCGTAAAATGACAAATAATTTGAAATAGATACTTTTTTTTTTCAGAAGTAATATCTTCTTCATTCATTATGGAAGTAGTAATCTGTAAGTTCAATTTTTTTTTATCAATAATATGTGTTCATTTAAATTACTATTTAGGAGATATGTAGAGTGAGAAATGAAAATATACTAGAAATAAGAATGACAAAATGAATTAACCAAATTCAATCCCACTACGGTTCATTTAAAAATAAGTTGGATTGATTGAATCCATTTTGATATGTTGTGGATTATAATAATGAGTAGGTCTAAGTTAACTCATCAAATGAATAAAAATAATATATATATATATATATATATATATATATAGAATCCGGATTGATGTGAATCCTCTTCAAGTTCCTCCCTAGATCTTCAGCTCCTTGATTCTTCCTAAGCTTTGCTAAGGTCTCCAATGGAGGAGGAGACCTTAGAACCACCATGGTTTGGTGGGGAACACTCCCAAGAGGCGCCACTCCTTGATGAAGAGATAAGCCACTTCAATTCTCACCACACTCTTCTAGTGAAGGGATAAGAGAATTGGATGAATATCAAAGAGGTTTAGGAACTTTTAGAAGAGAGTAATCTGAACAATATTTCAGAAATGAAATCTCAATACATCCAAAAGTGTTTTACAATGAAGGAAAAACAAAAATATAGGAGTAGGAAGCTTGGAGAGCAAGCTAGCCTTAACCATGGTTCACTAGGAACCATGGTAAGGTCTAGCTAACCATCCATGGTCTAGAGGCTTGGAGAGCAAGCTACTCACTTAGCTTGCTTGGTAAGCAAGCTAAGGAGAAGCTTGTGCTTCAAGCTTCTAAGCTTGAGTGTGAACAAGCAATGTGAACACAAATCAAGGTGGGCGGCTCATGGACTTTATTTTACTCCAACCGGTTTTGAAAAAATGTTGATTTGGTTTAGTTAGGTTCATCCAATGTGAATGGCATTTTCACTTGAGCTGTCCTAGAGGTCGTCCTCTTTCACCAGCCGCCCAAAGCGCACCTCTTTCTCCACATGGATTGCAGAGAGGTCGACCCCGGGTGCCAGCAACCTCGCCTGGCGAGCTGCCTTGAGGAATCCCTTTTTGTGCTCAAACAGGACGGCTCGCTCAGTTTTCACGAGCTTCTTCTCCAGCTCCTCCTTTGCCGCAACCATCTTCGCGAGGTCCACCTTCAAAGCAGCAACCTCCTCTTCTTTCCCACCAAGAAGCACCTCGTCACAAAGACGCTTCTCGGCCGCCGCCACTAGATCAGCCTTCAGCGAGGTTACCTCGTCTTCCAAGGAACGTACCCGACCTCGGGAAGAACAGGCGAGTTCCTGCAGCTCACCCACTTGGGCAGCGTAAGTCTCATTAGACCTCAGAGCAATCTCTAAGGACTTCTAAACTCTCTCCAGCTCCCTCCTGGTGGCTTGAAGCTCGGCCTCATTCTGCAGCTTGGCATCACCGAGAGCAGCCGCCAAGGCCTTGTTCTCTTCCTTTAGCGGCTGGACTCGACTCTTCATTTTCTTGAGGTCTCCCTGCTGCTTGGACCACCTATACTTCTAGTGATCCAAAATGGCCATTGTCCTCTGCAAGAAGACCTCAGCAGAATCAAGGCCTTCCACTGGCCCGACCGTCTCGATCATAGCCTGATCAGCCGAGCTCAGCGAACCCCTGGGGAAGAACTTCTCCGAGGTCACCCCTGCGCTCCACAGTGAATTTATGTCTTCTGAAGCGCTCACGTGGTCCAAGCACACTAGAGAGCGATCTTTACCAAAGCGCTGGGCGAGGTATTGGCTTTTGGGGGCCCCCCTAGACGGGCCAGACGGCGACGCCAAGGCCGCAGGAGTAGTTGTCGGGACCTCGGAGCTCGGCCCCTTGTCGCTAGCCTCGGTAGAAGCAGAAGCAGGCGCCTCCTGCTCGGCAACGAGGGTGCCCACCCCTGGTACCTCCGAGCTCGGAGCCACCTGGACCTCGACAACATTCCTCGCCTACAAAAGACAAAAATTCCCTCCTAAGTCACAAATCAAGAAAATGGCAATATAGAAGGAAAACCACAAAGAAAGACACCAACCTCGGCGGCCTGGGCAACCTATTCGACGGCCTGGGCAACCTCCTCGGCAGCCACTTGGGGAGCTCCCTCGGGCGGAGGACTCCTAGTGAATTCAACCGTGCCGGTGTCGGCAGCCTTCGAGGTCACCTCCTCGGTGCCTTTAGGGGCTGAGGTCCCCTTGACCTCTTTCTCTCCCCTCTTTCTTTTTCGACGGGTCTCTAAGGGGGCCACCTCCTCCTCTTGAGGCTCTGGGACCTCAATTTCGACGATGTTGTAGCGAGACTTGAATTCACGCCACTTGTTCTTGCCCATTATGCCTGCAAGCACAAGAGTAGATACGTCAGTAAAAGAAAATTTTACAAACCCCTAAGAATCAAAAAAGACGAAATACTAACTCTCTAGACCTCATTCAAATATCTTAATTTTATATTTATAAAAATATATATATATATATATGCAAATGAAATCTAAGCAGGACAATATTCCATCCCAATATGTGACGTGGGAAATTAGTGGGCTGTATTGTATTGGATCGAATTATATGAATACATATTCAATCCAATATTTGGGTAGATAAAACGGATTTGACCCCTTAAACCTATTTTAATATCCCTGAAGTATAGGTACGGTATGCAGTAGGGAATGTGTATCATGAATGCAGATCCTTTCCATTTTTACAAAAACAACATGAATTCTTATTTTATACATTCCTCTTAACACACTCATTTTTATTAATTAAAATTTATTAAAAATAATAAATATATGACATCTATCAAATTTTATAATAAAAAATATATGTTGCTAGCATTTTTCATTATAAAAAAAAATAAAAAAAGAAATGGAAAGGAAAAGAAATGGATGAATGCACTTACAAAGCCCCATCCCATCTTGGTGAACTCTTGGCCAACAATACCGTAATCACATCTGGTAGGAAGGAAGAGCTCCATGTAGGCACGTTCATCTATTATTGCAGCAACACCACCTTTAGCTGGTCCATCCTTCAAGGCCCTCTCATATTCTGATGCTGAGTTGAGAGGGACAAGCCTGGACCTGTGTATGTTGAGCTCCTCAGTCAGATAATTTTCAGCAAAGGACCCACACTGGAAACCAATGCGCTCGTTGCTTGTTACCAAGCTTTCAATTCCCTTAACTGAGGAAGACAGCTGCTCCACAGTTAGGATCGAGGTCAAGCTTGCAATATAGCTTGAGTTCACTATCAATACCACAAACAGCCATATCATTAGCACCAACCGACCAAGGGTGCTCACAGTTTTCTCTCCTGAAATCAAATACTCGATCGTGTTAGAGACAAAACTTGGATATAGTGTGTGTTTGAATCAGCGTGAATTGCATAGTTGATTTTGAATAAATGTCGGTTAAAAATAACAAAAAAGATATGAATTTGATTATCAAAATTGATTTTTAGTGTATAATTATAAATTTAGATAGATAAAACTCTAAACTTGATTTTGTTTGACGAAGAAGCTACTAATAGTTGCTTCCAAGTGAACATATTCACATCTTGAAATTAATTTTGTTTCTAGTCAAACATATTACAACGTAATTTTAGTCATTTTTTAGATGTAATGGAATTCATTTAAGATATATTTGATGTGTAACTAAATATACCCATAATTTTTTAGGTGATTTTGGTATTATATTCTTATTAAAATTGTAGTGTCATGTTAGTGATGTCGATGTTATTTTCTAACTAGAATTATAATTTTATCTTCATAATACATGTTGACATTTAATCAATTTTTTTCTTAGAATGTGAAATTCCAATTCTAATTAGAGAATGATATCAATAGTATATAGCACCTAAGTTTCATATATAATAAAAAGTTGTATTGAAGGTTAACATAGGTTAGTAGTAAGGTAAAATTTCATTTGTAGTATACCAATTCTATCATATGTTAGTGTTGGGATTCAAACAAGTCTCACATCGATAAAATAATACAACAAATAACAACTTATATAATACAAACAAACTTATGATCTTAGAGATGAAAGCAGAAACAAACTTTTCACAAATTTTCCCACCTATTTTTGATGGAGAAAGTTACGATCTTTGGGCGGTGAGAATGGAGGCATACCTAGAAGGTTTAGATCTCTGGGAAGCTGTAGAAGAAGATTATGATGTTTCCGCGTTGCCAGAAAATCCTACCGTAGCCCAAATGAAAATTCACAAGGAAAGGAAAATCAAGAAGGCAAAGGCAAAAAGTTGTCTCTTTGCCTGTGTTTCACAAAATGTTTTCACAAGGATCATGACTCTCAAATCGGCAAAAACAATTTGGGATTATCTAAAGGAAGAATATGCTGGAGATGAAAGGATTCGAAGCATGCAAATATTAAATTTAATGAGAGAATTTGAAATACAAAGAATGAAGGAGACAGAGACAATCAAACAATACTCTGACAAACTGCTTGGCATTGCTAATAAGGTACGATTACTAGGAACGCAATTTCTTGATTCTAGAATTGTTGAAAAAATTCTAGTAACTATACCTGAAAGATATGAAGCTTCAATAGCAGCTTTGGAAAACACAAAGGATCTGAGTAAGATCACTTTGGCAGAAGTGTTACATGCATTGCAAGCATTAGAACAAAGGAGGCTTATGAGAGAAGAAGGATCCGTGGAGGGTGTATATTTAGCCAAATGGAAGAACAAAAATAGTGGCAAAAACAAGAAGAAGGAATTGTTTCAAGAGAACAGTCAACATAATAACACTCAAATTTTTTCACCATGTCCTTATTGCAAAAAGACTAATCATCCACAACAAAGATGTTGGTGGAGACCTGATGTAAAATGTGACAATTGTGGAAAATTAGGACACCTAAAACATGTATGCAAATCTCATGAGCAACAAGAAGAAGCCAACATTGTTGAAGATCAACAAGAAGAGGGAGAAGAAGAACTACTTTCAATGTCATGCTTTATGACCAAAAAACCCTCAAAAGCTTGGATTATTGATAGTGGTTGTACAAATCATATGACCTATGATCGAGAACTCTTCAAAGAACTCAACAAAACTGATATCTCTAAAGTTCAAATGGGGAATGGAGCACACCTTGCAGTAAAAGGCAAAGGAACACTTGCTATTAAGAGTCATTCAGGTTTTAAATTAATATCTGATGTTTTATATGTTCCTGATATTAACCAAAATTTGTTGAGTGTTTCTCAATTATTAGGAAAAGGCTATAAAGTGTTATTTGAAGATAAAAATTGTGTGATTAAAGATATACACAACAAAGAAGTATTCAATGTTCATATGAAAGGCAAAAGTTTTGCTTTAAATTTGGAGGAGGAGCCAATTATAAATGAAGATACAAGCTAACATTTCATGCAGCGGAATATGAGTTATGAGTTATAGGGTTATTGGTTGTCACCGAATCCAACATGCGGCTCTGATACCACTGATGTGGTTATTTTATGGTAGTTGTCTGAGAGGATATTTTATGAGTTATTTTTATAAGGTTATTACACAAACATACTCCACAATGATGAGATATTGTCCGCTTTGGGCCTTAGCCCTCACGGTTTTACTTTTGGTCATTACCCAAAAGGTCTCTCAATCATTGAAGTATGTTTGTATTATATAAGTTGTTATTTGTTGTATTATTTTATCGATGTGGGACTTGTTTGAATCCCAACAATCCTCCTCTCAAACAAGGGACCTAACCTTTCATGCAGCGGAATCTGTCTTTATATGGCACATTATATTTTATGAGTTATGAGGGGTTATAGGGTTATTGGTTGTCACCGAATCCAACCTGCGGCTCTGATATCACTGATGGGGTTAATTTTATGGTATTTGTCTGAGAGGATATTTTATGAATTATTTTTATAAGGTTATTACACAAACATACTCCACAATGATGAGATATTGTCCGCCTTAGCCCTCACGATTTTGTTTTTGGTCATCACCCAAAAGGCCTCTCAATCATTGAAGTATGTTTGTATTATATAAGTTGTTATTTGTTGTATTATTTTATCGATGTGGGACTTGTTTGAATCTCAACATTTAGGTTTATACAGGATTAATAAGTTGAGTGGATAGGTAAGTTTTTATTATTAGAAAGAAGAAAAAAAACGTGCTTGGTAAGATGTGCTGCAAAACTCAATAATATCTGGAGGACATGATAGGCTCTTGCATGAGTAGTAGATGTGTTAGGAAGTAAAATTATGTGTGGAAATTTGTTTAACAGCTTAAACTTTCATCATTTATTATTTTTGCCGTTTAAAATTGAATATGCATTCTGTCTTATAATAGTAAAACAACATAAACATTAAACCTACAAGACACCAGGCAGTAGCTAAGGAAAAGTGTCGAATTTCAACCACTTACTATGTGAAAAAAACAGGGTTGAAAAGCTAAACCTGCATGGAAAAATTATTGAAATGTTAGCAATTGTTGAAGTTTGTATTCTGTCTCAAAATAAAACAAAGAAAGATGTCAGAGAGAAGGTGCTTTTAATTTTTAATTTGTTTTTAGAGCTTAATTACCATATAATGGTCACAAACTGCCTTCTTGCTGGGCCTCTAAATTCATCATTTAAGCGACGTTCTAAAACCCACACAACAGCTCCCACAACTAAGAAAAACATTCCTGTCACAAACCACATCATTGGAGAGAATGGTCTCAGAAAAGCCCAAGCACTGGATTTCATTTTCCTAATTGGTGCCACAACAACTAGCCCAGACTCAATATATGGCTGTGTAAAATCCACTATCTTAGTTCGGTTTGTGGTAATGGTAATGTCCCCCACAACAGCATCGAACTCCTACATGTATATTACAAGGAATTTTAATCAAATAAGTTATAGAAATAGAATAAAGCAATAACCTCCTAGAAAAAAATATAAACAATGAAAATTGAAATACATGTAATAGTAATACTCACTCCAATTGTGATCTTGTTGAGAAGTTTTGTATTTAGTGGGTTGGTTTTACCATCTCCAAATGGAACAAACTTGTAGGGAACAGGATAAGGCAACAAGTTCAACGCAGCAGTAAACACATCGATGCTATAACCTCTAAACATCTCAGTTGTTCCCTCAATTCTTGACAGAATCTCAGGGTTACTAATTCTAAGTGGCACCCCTATTCTCAAGTGTCTTCCATTGCTTGCAAAAACCCAACCACGTGGGGTTTGAGTTGTTTGACCAGGCCAAATGACACCATATAGTCCTACACTAGAATAGGAATGATTAGGAGCTTCACCACCAGTGTGGAGACCAGAGGCTTCAGACCAATAACCAATCCTCCTAATTCCAGTGCCTATCACATTAATTATTTCATATGATGGATTAACCAAGTTTCCATCTGCACTAAACTCCATTTGGCCTGTTAAACCACTTCTATTCACTTCTAAAATTTTTTGACGCAACGATTCACCACCAACAAACACCCCCATAGTATTCATGTGAAGGGTGTCCCCTCTCAACATGTTTAGACTTGAATCATTTGAAAATGACACAGTTCCCCCACTCCTAAAAAATGCATCGAGTGCTGAAGCAAGCACCCAAACAGTGTCATAGGCGTAAAGGCCAAAGGTGTTCAATGCAAAAGGACCCTTATGAGAGTCCTTTCCTTGGCTCAGTTTGTTCCACCTAGAACTAAACTTTCTTTTGATTTCTGAGTCTGGGGTATACATGCGCAAGGTGATAATACCTTGGATGTCATTCATGGCTCGAGTTGTGAACAATGATGGATCTGAATCCAGCACTGTAGAAAGCCAATCTGTGGCTATCCACACATAGCCACTTCCCATCATGCCAAGTGACTGAGCTGCATGAAGTACTTCTAGACCAAAAGAAGGATATATGTGAAGAACTATTACCCTTGATTCCATCAAAGCTATCTTAACTAATGCACTGTTTATTTCTTCCGGGGTAAAGTTATTAGGCCTAAATGGTGATTTATGTAATATTTTACCACGTTTCTCTGCTAGCTTATCCCCTAGTGCAGCCACCCCATTTCTTCCATGATCATCATCAACGTAGATGGCTATGACATCTCTCCATTGAAAGTGATCAACAATTTCTGCCACAGCAGCCATCTGACACAGATCACTCTGTGTTGTTCTCACAAAATATGGGAACTGTAGTGAAGTCAGTGTTGGATCTGTTGCTGCAAATGAAAGTAGAGGCACTTGCATCTCGTTTGCTATGTGAGAAATCACATGAGCCATGACTGAATACTGAGGACCAATTATAGCCACAGTGTCACTCTCCATCAATCTTAATGCTGCAAAAATAAATCAACAAGGTCTCTTTGTTGTTATTAACAAATAAAGAAACAGTGCAAGTGGAAAAATCAAATGTGTTTGACAAGGACGTACAGTCAATAATTCCTAGGAATCCAGAGGATAATTTGGTGTCCAACATTGAAATATTAAGCTTAATTCCATTCAGAATCGTGGCATTGGAGTTTATATCATCCACTGCAGCTTCTATGGCAACTTTAGCCACTCTGCCAACGGTTGAATTGAAGGACATAAGTGCCCCTATGTTAACGGTGCGTGGTCTTGTAGAAACATTGTTGATTCCTTCTGAAGGAAAGCCATGGTAGAACATCACGAGAACAAGAAGCCAAACCTTTTTCATGTTGAATTTTCCTGTCCTGCAAGAACATAACAAAGGGATACAAAAAATAAAATTAGAAAGTTGTTAAAATATCTTTGCTTCATGTCATGTGGACTATTCATCACTCGTCTACAAGTAAAAATGAATAATTGGAATATTAACGTACTATATATTAAAATATATACCTATATTCGGAGATGCTAAAAGCTTTAAGTGAAATTGAACTTGAAGAGCACAAAGGTGTCTCCTCGCACTTTCACCAAAACAATCACTATGTATGGAACCCTTATATGATCCTCATGCGTTTAGATCTTTCAAAACTTCCTTTTCCCTATCCATTGCAAGTCCTTTTCTTATTTTTCTGGTACTCATATTCACTCTTCTTCATAATTTTAAAATGGACCAAACTTATCTTTCAGTTTTTTTAAGTGGGGTTGATATTGAATCATTAATTGAACTAGTGAGCCACTAGTTAAATATTCGGTGATTAATTGTATACTCTCACATTGTTAGGAACGCATTTTTTGCTAACACATTTGAGTAAATGCACCACCAACCAGCCAGCAATTCAGCGTCTCTCCCATCAATGTTTAGCACGCGTCTCGGTCAATGCAGAACACTCAAAGCACAGATTTGGAAAGAGTTATCATAAGACTTCTTTTTTTCTAATAGCAAAATACATTAATTACTTTTATTAAAAAGGAGAGATCTACTTATTTCAAAAGTAAAACTATTTAAACTTATTTAACTCAATAATTCATATTTTACATCAAATTTTAACGATTGAATCACTAAATTAAAATTTCTTAATATATAGATGAAGTCTATAAAGTTTAAGAAAATTGAAAATTGTTTGATAATTTATTTCATTAATTCAAATTGATGGATAGTCATACAAGTATTTTATACGTTGATTTGAATTAATAAAATGAAATATCAAATAATTTTCAAATTCTTTTAAAACTTGTAAAGTTGAATCTATATATTAAGAGCTTTTAATTCAACGATTGAATTGTTGAAATTTAATGTAGATTCCTCATCTTTATTAAAATATTTTTATTTAATTAAATTTTAGACCAAAAATAATAAATATTTAAAATTAATTGAATAAAAATTATATTTAACTTATTAAGATTGAAAAAGATAAACAAACACATAAATATTTCTCTCATCTAGTTTGGCAATATTTTCTTTCCAAACATTAATTAATTGTTGAACCAAAATTGATATATGTGTCTAATACTTCAGTTTTAATAATAACAAAAGGATGATATTTATGGACTAATGAATTATCTAAATCATTACAAGAATCATGCGTCCAATGTACAAAAGGAGAAATTATTAGGTAGTCCTAAATCACCAGGGGGCATTTGGTAGGGGCAAAACTTTTTCATATCCAGGAATCATAATTCCTAGGAATTACAAATCTTGAGAATCATCATTTCTAGGAATTGCTCAAATCTATTTGGTTACTTATAAAAGTTCCTAAAAATATTCATACAAGATTCTTAGGAATCAAAGATTTTCATGTTTAGTTACAATAGTATATTCTTGAATATATAAATATTTTTTAAAAAAATATATTTTATTAAAATAATTTCATTAAATTTATTTATTTACTCAAAAATTATTACGAATATAACATTAAACTATTTTAAAAAGTTAAAAATTTATAGTTAAAATTATTTAAATACATAATCCAATAAAAGAAATAAACAAAGAAAAATGCTACATTTCATTTCATTCCAATAAAAAAAATAATTGTTAACAAATACCATTAAATTGTAGAAATAAAATATTTTTAATAATATTATTAAAATTGACAGGGTCAAAAAATAGTGAGATACAAGAAAGAGATAAAGAGAAACAGAGATATGGGAGGGAGGGAGAAAGAGGGGGAATGAGAGTGAGAGTGAGAGTGGAAATGACAAAGAAAGGGAGAGGGAGAAAGAGAAATAAAAGGAGAGAGAGAGAGAGAGAAGGACAGGGAGAGTGCAAGAGAGAAAAGGAGAAAAAGAAATAGAAGGAGAGAGAGAAAAAAAGTGAAAGAAAGAGGAAAAAAGGGAGAGTGAGAGTGAGATATATATATATATATATATATTTATAGAAGTCCAGGAGTGGCCAGAACGGCCCGTTTCGAATCCAGAATGGCCTGTTCTGGACTCCTTCATCATGTGTAAAATTCACATGCAGAACGACCCGTTCTGAAACTAGAACGACCCGTTCTAACACGTCTAGAATGACCCGTTCCTAAACCAGAACGGCCTGTTCTGGAGTTAAATTTAAATCACAACAACCACGTTTGGAACGGCCCATTCCAGTCTAAGATTTACAAGCTTATTTAGTAGTCTGGAACTGCCCGTTCCAGTTTGAGAACGACCCGTTCTGGGCTACTAAATCACCCTTCTTTTAGTAAATTGGAACGGCTCGTTCCAATTTTGGAACGCCCCGTTCCAGTCTACCAACTGCGTTACATATGTTAAAACTATTTAAATATAGAATTTAACCAAAAAAATGTTACCTACAAAATTATACAAAAAAGGAATGATAGATGAAATATAAAAAAGGAATAATGTATATTGAATATGAATATCTACTAATTAAGCCACCAATTATTATTCATAAAAAAATATAGTATTTCATTTCATTTAGAAAAATAAAATAAAAGTTAATAAATATTATGAAATTGTAGAAGCAAACTAGATTTTAATAATATTATTAAAATTGACAATGTCAAAAAATAATGAGATATAAGAGAGAAAAATAAATATATGGGAGGGACAAGAAGAGAGGAAGAGGGAGAATGAGAGAGAGGCAACAAGAGAGAGAAAGAAAGAGAAATAAAAGGAGAAAAATACTTTAAAAAGATGAATCCTATACATATTCTATTTTAAAAAGAAATACTTTGATTTTTTTTTCTTATATACATAAAATTTTGTCCTTAATTTGAGAAAATTTGACTCTCAACTCCCATGGTAATATTTTTAGGAAAAAGTGAGATAAAAATGAGTTTCGAAAAGTTATATATCTTGTAAAAAAAAATTAAATAGTTATTAAACATGAGAAACTAAAAATAATAGTTTATTTCATATATATAATGGTTAGTTCATATAGAATATCACATATACATGGATTTTATGGTGGTTAGTTCATTAAAATATCACATACACATGGGTTTCTTCTATCTGGAAACCAATTGTTTGTTTTCTTAGTTGAAATCGAATTCAAAATCATTCTTTGAAACATCAATCTCCTAAACCAAAACAAAGAAAATGTTATCTTATAGTGAACAAATTATGTACACCCGATTTGATCTCCTCACCTCTATCCTATTTTTTTTATCTTGTTTTCATTAAGCTCTTCTTTGCCTTTTTTATTATTTCATATGAATACAATTAATCTAAAAAATTCATTAGCTAGACTTCGTTATTGTTAAATAAAAATATTAAAATTTGAGTGATCTATTTGATTTAAGATTCCTATTAAAATAAAAATATTTCATGTATCAAATGATTCTTTATAGTATAGATAGAAAAAAAATCAAATAAAAAATAATTTATAAGTAATTATAAGAAAAAATAGTTGAAAGTTATAATTACTAAGAAAACATGTGTTTGTTAATAGTATATATTAACTTTGACGTCACGTGAGAGTGATTATAGGTTGATCACTATAATTGTTGCATGAAAATGACTTTCACGTCACGACACTACAACAAAAATTAGTATTACCGATAATTATTTAATAATAATAAATTAATTATCTCTATTTTATTATTTAATAAAAATATTAATGAATATTATATAATGGTCACTAAAAATGTATTTATATTACATCAAAATTTACTATTAGCGACAATTATTTGTTAGAAAAAACTTAAGTCCTACATCGACTAGAAATAAAATAATTAAAGAGTATATAAGTGAATGATAACTCTCACCTTAGTATATTTTATAAGGTTGAGTTAGGCATATAACTTACTATTCTAAGTTGGTATTTAGGAGATAAGATAATTTAAAAAATTAAAGAATATATACTTAGAAGATAACATTTATCTTCTAAGTCCCACATCAATTAGAAATAAAGTAACTAAAGAGTTTTTGTACTCATCTTACACGTCATACATCGACTAGAAATAAGATAATTAAAGAGTATTATAAATATTTTCTTAAACTTTTAGCAGCAATTTTAAATGTCAGTAACAAATGACACAAAAAGTTATACACTTTTCCCGACCATTATGAGGGTCTTTACCAACATATAGAATAATTACCGGTAAATATTTTAACGACACTGCATACAATGACTAATGTGTGAAATGCCGGTAAAAGATTTTGTAGCAATTTTTATTACCACTAAAAATCATATTAAATATTACTAAAAGTCTATTTTGTTGTAGTGCGAAGCTTCTCGCATATTTCTCAAAGTAAATAACCATCAAAATTAGTAAAATAAAATATATAAAAAATGTAAAGAAAATAAACTTGTCTAAATTGTTTTCCACATTGGCTATTACAAGCCTCGAATTATTAGGAATCCAGGGAAGTTGAAATGCTATGTCACTCTTTGCCAATTCAACGTCTTTGTCGTACATCTTGAGAAAATTCAATTAACTATGACAGATATTAAAGCACAAAAAACAAATATATGTGACAAATTTCAACTTGAAAGTTGTAAGTAATTTAAGTTCTGAGCAGTCCAAATAAATACTAAGCATTCATCTAAATAGGACCACTGAAAATGATAATACATGAAAAAAGGACTTCAAAATTTGATATGTGACAAATTTAGCAGATAAGGAGGAAACAAATTAGTTTGTCTTATTAAATTAAGTCTAGTTATATATGTTTGTACCCTTAAATTTAAATTGAAATAAAAGGCAATATCAATTTTACCTTTGCAAATTACTTTATTAATATAAAATATGTATTAATTTTTTCGATAATTAATTTTCATTAGAAAATTTCAATTATTATTTTTAGTAAAAAAATTCTTCCAATTACGCGCATAAAAAACATAAACAATAAGAATTACATCGATGTATAAAAAGGATGAAGTTAGTATAAATATATGATAACTTAGATTCGATCTATATCTTTATTGTTACAGTTATAATTTTGATAAAAAAAAAATTGCACTATATAAACCAAAAACTGATGTCATTTCTGTGGAGGTTAATTTGGTTTGATTTATATTTTTGTTTTAGTGAAAGTGAAAAAGAGTTTGGATTTATTGGCTATATAGAATAACTATCCTTTAATTAAGTAGAAATATGACTAAAATTTAGCTTGAATTGTGTGTTAACAATTGTGTTTTAAGCATTTCTTCGTCATTAAATTAATATTTAAAAAAAATCCTTAAAATATAAGATTTTTTAGATTATCTCAGACAAACAATATATAATTAAAACACGAG